TTAATTATTGTTAATAAAGATGCAGCGATTCGCACTTTTTCAAGGTGAAATAAGAGTTTTTTTCTTAAAAAACTACAGCGTTTTCAATTTGCTCGAGCCGATTAAACTAGTGTAATCAGACGTCTTTTATCGACACATTTTTCGTATCAAGAATTGTATCTTTGTTTCTAGACAATATTCGACAAAAGCGTTTTAAGCCAAAAAATCAAAACTCTTCCACATTCAGCGTGAGAAGTGCAGGAAGTAACTAATGTGTGATGACAAGTGCTAACAGCGAGCGCCTGCGGCAAACCTGCCGATGGTGTGATAATGAATAAAAGGTCAGGGTGATACACGATGCTCACGTTTGCTTCTAAAATTCGATCAGCGTTGTATATCACTTTATGGCATCTGCGAGAAAAGTTGATCTGCTACAGACCTTCAAAATATAACGGCTATGTGAGTGCGCATCGGTACGACTGAGGTTGCTGCATTAACACTGAACTCATCCGACGTGAGAGGTCACAAAATTCGAAGCTCTCGTCATTTGATTCAGTTTGTCAAAAGTTGAGATTTTGCCAAAAAAAAAGGATATCTGGCAGTTAAAAAGAGTCGAAAACTGTTCTAGCGCACTAAAAGAGCAATAGGGAAGATGGTTTAGGAATGGGAGCTGAGGATGCTGTTTTTATTCCCAAACTATAACCCAGGTAGAAAGGCTCCAGGTTTGCCGATGCGATCATGCGTTTTTGCACTAGAGGTCACTAACTGCATGGAGCACTCAGGCCGTTGCGCTGCACCTGCCTTTTGCGTTCACTAGCATGAATCACCATAAATTTTGCATAAAGTAAATAAATAATTTCCGTTTACGGCTTTTCTCTGAAAGTAACCTAGCTATTCAGTGAGCAATTTTCCCGCCAAATTTTTTAAATGCCCACACTTGAGAACCACGCATACTTGAAGGCTGAATTTGGAATATTCAATTTGTATTTGGACAAAGACACTCCCCTAAGACTTCAGCTTTCTAACTTTTCTGGTTCCCGAAGTAGAAAATTTCCTGCCAAACTTTCTTGCGCCTTTACGTGAGGACTACGCACACCTGAAGGCTGAAT